TCATAGACTTCTGGGTGTTAATTTTGTATCCTACTACTTTGCCAAGTTCATTTATTAAGTCTAGTAGTTTTTTGATGGAGTCTTTGGGATTTTCTATATACAGTATCATGTCATCTGCAAATAAGGACAGTTTACTTCTTTTCCAATTTGGATGCCTTTTATTTCTTTTTCTTATCTGATCACAATGGCTAGTACTTTCAGTACTATGTCAAAGAGGAGTGGTGAGAGTTGGCATCCCTGTCTTATTCCTGTTCTTAGGAGAAATTGTTTTAGTTTTTTACTATTTAGTATGATGTTGGCTGTAGGTTTGTCATATATAGCTTTTATTATGTTAGGTATGATCCTTCTATTCCCACCTTGCTGAGAGTTTTTATCAATAAAGAGTGTTGGATTTTGTCAAATGCTTTTTTTCAATCAATAGATGTGATTATATGGTTTTAATTTCTCAGTTTGTTTATGTGGTTGGTGTATCACATTTATTGATTTGCAGATGTTGTACCATCCTTGCATCTCCAGGATAAATCCCACTTGGCCATGTGTGTGATCTTTCTAATGTAATGCTGGCTTCAATTTGCTAGAATTTTGTTGAGGACTTTGGCATCTATGTTCATGAGGGATATTGACCTGTAATTCTCTTTCTTTGTATTGTCTTTATCTGGTTTTGGGATTAGGGTAATGCTGGCTTCGTAGAAAGAGCTTGGAAGTACTTCTTTCTCTTGAATTATTTGAATAGTCTGAGGAAGTTAGGTATTATTTCTTCTTTGAATGTTTGATAAAACTCCCCTGTTAAGCTGTCTGGTCCACGGCTTTTGTTTGTTGGACATTTATTTTTATTATCACTTCAATTTCCTCCATAGTAATCGACCTATTCAGATTTTTTGATTCCTCCTGATTGAGTTTTGGAAGATTGTATTTTTTTATTAATATATTCATTTCTTCTAGATTGACCAGTTTGCTGGAGTAGAGTTGCTCATAGTATTTTTTATAATTCTTCATATTTCTGTGGGATATGTTGTTATTTCACATATTTTATTTCTAATTTTGTTTATTTGAGTCCTCTCTCTTTGCTTCTTGGTGAGCCTGGCTAGAGGATCATCAATCTTTTTTGCTTATCCTTTCAAAGAACCAGCTCTTGGTTTTGTTAACCTTTTGTATTTTTTTTTAAATCTCTATGTCATTTATTTTTACTCTTGTCTTTATTATTCCCATCCTTTGGATCACACTGGACTTTTCTTGTTGTTCTTTTTCTAATTCTTCAAGTTGCAGAGTTAGATGGTTTGTTTATTTCCAGTTTTTCTTTTCTTTTCTTCTTTTCTTTTTTTTTCTTTTTTTTTTTTGTGTGCGTGTGTGTGTGTGTGTGTGTGTGTGTGTGTGTGTGTGTGTGTGGTAGGTCTGTAATGCTATGAACTTCCCTTCAGGACTGCTCTCACTGTGTCCCAAAGATTTTGGATTGCTGTATTTTCATTGTTTGTTTCCAGGATGTGTTTTATTTCTTCTTTGATCTCTTTGGTAACCCACTCATTGTTTAATAGTGTGATATTCAGCTTCCAAGTGTTTGAATTTTTGTGATTGTATTTACTATAGTTGATTTCTAATTTTATGCCATTGTGATTAGTGAAGATGCTTGATATGATTTCAATTCTCTTGAATTTGGAGAGATGTTTCCTGTGCCCCAATATGTGGTCTATCTTTGAAAATTTCCCATATGTACTGAGAAGAATGTACAATCTGTAGTTTTTGGGTGGAATGTTCTAAAGAGGTCAATTAAGTTCATCTGATCTAATGTGTTATTTAAAATTGATGTTATTTGTTATTTTTTTTGTCTTGAGGATTTATCCAGTGATGTTAATGTATTAAATATGACTATGACTGTGTTGCTGTCAATCTTTCCTGTGATATCTTCCAGAAGATTTTTTTAAAATGTATTTGGGTACTCCTGAATTGGGTGCATAAATGTTTACCAGAGTTATATCATCTTGTTGTATTGATCCCTTTAGAATTATGAAGTGGCCTTTATTGTCTCTTGTTATGGTATTCACTTTGAGGTCTATTTTGTGAGATATAAGTACTGCTACCCCAGCTTTTTTTTTTTTTTCATTTTCATTCCGCTGATAGATATTTTTCCATCCCTTACTTTCAGTCTGTGTGAGTTCCTTGTTCTGAGGTGGGTCTCCTGCAGACAGCATATATATAGGTCACGTTTTCTTATCCATTCATTCTTTTTATGTCTTTTGATTGGAGCATTTAATCCATTTATATTTAAGCCATTTCTATGCTTTATGCCTGTGTTCCTTCCTCCCTTTCTATTTCTTCTTTTTACAGCATTCCCTTTAGCATTTATTGCATTGCTGGCTTGGTAGTGTTAAACTCACTTGTCCTTTTTTTCTGCAAAGCTCATGATTTCCCCTTCAATTTTGATTGATCATATTGCTGGATATAGTATTCTTGGATTCAGTCCTTTGCTTTGCATCACTTTGTATACCTCCTTCCATTCCCTGCTAGCTTGATGTGTTTCTGTTGAGAAATCTTTTGATAATCTGATAGGAGATCCTTTGTCTTTGTCTCTCTCTTGCAGCTTTTAAGATTCTCTCTTTGTCGTTAACATTTGCCATTATAATTATGATATGTCTTGCTGTGGGTCTTTTGGTATTCAACTTGCTTGGGACTCTCTGTACTTGTGTAACTTTTTTATTCCCCATATCTGGGAAGTTTTCTGTCATTATTTATTCAAATAGATTTTCTAATTCTTGCTGCTCTTCTTGTTCTTCTGGCAGTCCTATTATACATATGTTACTTCATTTCATGTTGTCCCAAAGCTCCCTTAGTCTCTCCTCCTGCTTTTTAATGTTTTTTTTCTTCAGTTGCTGTTCAGATTGAGCTTGTTTCTCTACCTTATTTTCTAACTCACTAATTCAGTCCTGCTTCTTCTAGTCTACTGTTGAAACCGTCCATGGTGTTTTGATTGTAGCTATGTCTCCTTTAATTTCTTCCTGATTTTTGCATATGTTGTTGATTTTCTCATCTATCCCGTGTATGAACTGTACAACCATTACTCTGAATTCTTTTTCTGACATGTTGCATGCTTCTTTTTCACTGATTTCCTTTCTTGGCTACTCCTCATTTTTTTCCCCCCTCTGGGGTTTGTGTCATTTCCCATTATGACTATCACCTAAAGGTTCAAATGTCAAGTTGCATAGGCTTGGGCCATGTTCATTGGGAGCTTCATACCACCCAAGTGTCACTGAAGAGCTCAAACACCAAGATGAGTGGCAGCCATGGGTGGTGGGAGGCACTATGGCCCAGAATCAGAGTCACTGGTGCTCAGTGTGGCCTCTTATGCATACCTTTAATCAGGGACCTCACTTCTACCACACTGAAACATAGACCCCGCTGATGTGTGCCAAAAATCAGAGTCCCCAGCATATGCCAGGAGTTAGAGTTCCCCTATGCCTGCACCAACAATCAAGTATCATCTAAAAAGAGACAGAGATAAAAATAGGAGGTTTTTGTTTGTTGGTTGGTTGGTCATTATTGTTTTTCTGTTGAGTTCCACTTTTAAAGGCTGAGGACTCATTTTGGACTTTTTTGACCTCCCTATGTCCTTGCACGACTTACCTAAGATCTGGAGAAGCCTTGATGAGATAAAGATTTCAAGCACCTCTAGGACTGCATATGAATTTTTGATTGTTACAGCTTGTGGCCTTATATAAGCAGGGACAACCATACTAGCTATTTGGTTTAGCAATGTAAGAGTTTCAAGTTGCTATCTATTTAGAATTTGTGCTATAAAAGCTAAAAAAACAAGTGGCTGGAAGCATGCAGAAATTTATATAAATTCAACTAACTTGGAGTGACATGAGAGAAATGAGGAGTCCTAAGGATTGGATCTATATAAAATTGAATATTAATGAAAGCTAGTTCCTCCAGCCATATCTTTTGAAAATATCATTAATTCATCATAATATTTTCTCCCTTGAGTCACAAACATGCTCCTGCATCTTTCTCAGTACAGTATTCTCAGCACCCAAACTACCAGAGAATATAGGAAGATGATGCTTATCAGCAAAATGACAACTAGTTGTGTTTCTGTTTTTCAATTGGGATATTGTTAGTAATACATTTGTTTAGGTCAGTGGAAAAAATAAGTTTTCTAACTTCGCCCTTTTTGAAGCTGTGCTATATAAGGAAACCCATATTAGTGCTTCCTATAATTGACTACACTGACACAGCAAGTAATATCCAGTGATTGCTGGAGAGGAAAAGAAGGATTTGTTTATAAGGTCTCCCCAATGAGAACTTGCCAGGAAATTCCACACTTTAATATAGATTTGGAAATAAGTATATTAAGAACTTTTCCAATTATTTTTTTCTCCTAGAATTATTAATATGAATGAGAAGTATATACTTGCTATATAATTTTTGCCTTTGGAATTAATTTTTTAAAGTAATTTTAATTTATAAGGAGATTTAAAAAAAAATTCTTAGGGTGAGAAAAAGAGACCCAATTTATATCTCTATAAAAGAAAATATATAGGAGTTCAGATGATAGAAGAATGTAAGGTTTAAAAGGACAAGCATATGAGCCTGGATTTTAATCTCAAGTGTTGTTTGTTTGTTTGTTTGTTTTTTTCTTAATTTAAAAATGATGACAAAGGGAAGACAACGGGATTGAAGGAAAAGTAATAAGTGATGTATTACAAATCTGAACTGAGGAAGAAGACCTCTAAAAGTCACCATTTATATTGTTATATAAAAGTAATTAAATGATCAACTTTTCATACTCAGTTAACTTGTCATAAATTTCTTTATTCATCAGGAGAAAATTTCTTTATTCATCAGTACCAATCTCATAGGATTATTGTAAGACTGAAATATAAAGCCCTTAGGATAGGTTCTGGTTCATGTAACACTCAATAATCATATTTTTATTATCATATACATTTACTCAAATGATTTTTATTAATTTACTCTCTCCATTCTCTATTTTTCTGTACTACCAGTCTGTGATATTCATTCGTGACAGGAATTCTCATGGGCAAGAGATATCAGGATATATTGACTATGCCCACAGGCTGAAGTCTGAAGATTTTGAAGTCTACTTTACTGGGAAAAAAAGACTTCTTCCAAGATCCACAGATTTGAGGTAAATACACACATTCAATAAAAAAAAAAAAAAACAAGCTCCTCAGAGGCAGGGATAAATGACTTTTATTTCATGTTTGGCATTGTACCTAGAATACTGTGTACATAGTAGGAACATGGTAAAAGTGGTTTGAATGAAAAATAAATAAATTTTAAAATAGGGAATGAATATAGACGCATTTTTTCCATTAACAGACTGGGAAGAGAACTCTTCAGAGATGAGATAAGTAAATTCTCAGTGACATTCCTTTTAAATGATAAGTGGAGCCTAAAAATTGCTAACCTCACAAGGCCTTTGACCACTTAGGATTTGGTTTGTCTAGAAGTCACTGGAGTGGTCCATCTAACACATTCTCTTCCCTCTGTTTTTTGGCCACCAACCAAAGTGTGGGTCTCTGATTGGCTCACTCTCATTTACTCTTATCATTGGCTTATTCTGATATTCCTTCCACCCATCATTCTTTTTACTATTGACTCCTACCCTATTCTTCCTCTGGAGCCATGACCCCATCACATAGTAACCACTCTACACTGTCAATCTATTCATAGATCTCATTCCTCTGCCCCCTGTTCAATAGCTTTCAAGCTTAACTTCAAATGCCACTATCTCTCAACTTACTGTAGAATGACACTGCAGTAGCAGCATTCTGCTTTAACTCCCCACTGCTGTATCCAAGCGCATTAGTTGACACTTGTAACAATACTCTATTCCTCTGACATCCCTTCCACATCCCTTCCGTCTTCTATCCATACTTATTGCTAATATCTAAAACTTCCCAGCCCATCACCACTACTTTCATGGACTTACCCCTTATCCTGTCTAACCTAGATACAAGGCATATTATTTAACTTCTCTCTTGCAATAATACCCACTGCCCATGTCTTTTTGTGCTTTGAAATCGTTTGTCCTGTTAACCCACCTAAAGTAGATTGATCCTGACCTCTCTTGCTTGCACCAGGAGCCATATTTCTGAGTAATAATAAACAAATTTCACAAAGGTTTATATGGCTGCTACTAATAATTTATGATCTCCAAACTCAACTAGAGTGGCTGTTAGCTACCCACTCATGGGCTTTTTCTCAACTCTTAATTTCACCACCCTCCCCGCAAATACTCTAAAGTTCATTCTCTCAAAACCATTGCTCTTAACTGCTGGCCCTGACTCTTATTCACATATGATTTGCTTCACATTTCACAGAGAACATTGGGTCTAAACATGGAAACTACCACATGATCTGTCAGTCTTTCTGTCAACCAAAATTGACTCACAAATCAGCCTCCAACCCCAGAGCGCCCTTTGATAATTTCTAGTCACAATTTGATTCTGGCAGCTGTTGGTCTCTGAGCTTGCCATCTACATTCAGAACATGTCTTCCCCTGAGTCTAAAAAAAATAGTTCATTTTTACTAAGTGAAATATTCTCTCATATTTATTTTAGATTCAGAGCAAAAAAGAACACATTGGGCCAATTCAACTTGTTTTTGATACTTTTCATCTGTCTTTCCAGCTATACTTCATCTATTGTTCCCTCTTTTTTTTTATGATTCTCAAACTGACCCTGTCAACTGGTTACATTATTTTGCCTCTAAACATACTGAAGTAATTTCTATAAAGAAATGAAATCCCCTTTGTACTCCAACCATTGCCCTAACTCTCTTTCAGTTTCCAGATAAACTCTTCAAAACAAGTGTCTCCAATGCTCACTTCTCATAGTTGCTAAACCATGGTGATTGGTCCTCTGCCACCATTATTCAAATGAAACAACTCCTGATAAATTCACCAATGACCACTAATTTTGAAATCCTATGGATTATTTTCAGTTCTCATCTTATTTAACTTTTCTAAATTACTGGATTAGTATTGATTAATCTTCATGCTGATCAATCCTTTCTTCTCAAAACTATTTGAGTACTCTAGCCTCTTACTCTCAGAATCTGTCATTGATTTATATTTATACATATTGGTATTCAGCAGAATTCATCCTTGGACTTCTTTTCTTAACATACAGGATAGGTTCTCTCGGGTAATTTGATCACCTCTCTGGAGTAGACTAGTCTTCACAACTACAACCTGAGCACAGATCTCTCTTCTTTATTTCAGACTAAATTATCCTACGGCTCACTTAAGAGAACTCTCAGTATCCCACTAGCACCTAATATATTTTCAAAAATTAAACTTATTTTAATCCTGAAGCCTGCTGTGTCTTTTTTATCCTCTGTTTTGGCAAATGTCACCAACCCTGTAACCAGAAGCAAAATCCAGATATTAACACAGTCCTCTTTCTCTTCATAACCACCCCAGTCTATATATATAAAAGGCTAAGCAATCATTGCATCCGAAACAACTGAACGGATGACCAAACAGGCTGTCTGGGGCAACCAGGCTGGCAGGGGGGTGAGTGAGAGGTGACCAAATGACCGAACAGCAGGCTGCATGGGGCTTCCAGGCCCCTGGGAGGGGCAGTATTTGGTGACCAGGTTGTTGGGAGGTGGGGCTTTTGAGGGTGACTATACCTGCGGGGGGGGGGGGGGCTGTTGGGCATTACCAGGCCAGCAGAGGGGGGCAGTTAGGTGAGATCAGGCAGGCAGGCAGGTGAGCAGTTAGGAGTCAGTGGTACTGGATTGTGAGAGGGATGTCCTGCAGATCAGGCGTAAACCAGCAATAAGTCATCCCCCAAGGAGTTGCAGATTGGAGAGGGTGCAGGCTGGACTCAGGAGACAACCCCTCATGCATGAATTTCATGCACAGAGCCTCTAGTAATTAATAATTTACTAAAATACTAGATTCTATGCCTTAATAGCTTTATATATATTAAAGCATATACAAGTGATAGAATTCACTTAACACTTAAGTATAAATCTTTATCTAATAATAATATTTTAAAAGAAAACATGATGACATTTTAACACCTAAAAAATCATTTATTAATATTATTGAATACCTAGTTAGTCCTTATTCATATTTCATTGATTATCTTAAAGTTATCTTTTCACAGTTAGTTTGTTTCTGGGCTCACTGTTTTTTTTTTAACTAATCCCTCCCTGCAATAACAGAATATTGCTCATTTGTTATTTTCATAATAATTCTTGATATAAAATAAACAATTCATTCACTTTGGTTTTCTTCTTCAGAAATATCTATGTTACACTTGACCCTTTCTCTTTTGCATAAATTTTAGTCAACTTATAAAGTTCACATGCAATAAAAGTTATAATTTTGATTGGAATTGCTTCCAAGTTGTGACCAATGTATAATTAATTGTCATGTTTATAATATTGTATTCTATTTATTTATTTTTGTTTATTTATGCCCTCTTTAATGTCTTTTAATAATATTTCATGGTTTTTCTCAATTAGAGATTTTTATTATTTTGTTGTTTTTTTCTCCTCATTTTATGTAATATTTGACTTTCTAGACAAAATTAATTTTTTCCAATGATCACACTACATAATTTTTACCACGTGAATTTAATTTAAGCTGTCTATCAAAATTAAATTTTATATTTTTTCACTAAAGAGATTGCATTCCAATAAGTAATTTAAATAGTTGTTATTAGGGGGAAATATCTTTGGTGTACATAGTTCCATGCTTAGTTCAATTAAGAACTACAACAAACACTTTAAAATAAAAAATTTCATAAGGTCTCTTTTTATTTACTTATGTTTGGCATGATGTTTTCTCCTGTGTAGGAAGGGACATTAGTTCTGTGATTAGAATCTTGTCTTGCATTTTTACTTGGAAAACAGTATCAACAGATAGCTGCAATTATTATGAAAAGCAGCAGTAGGGAGGGCCCTGACTACTTGCTTGATCATCTTATCAGTTCAGATTCCATCTTGACCTTGTGCTTAAGATTCAGTACCTTCCACTCAGCATGCTTGAATAACTTATAATTGCGTGTTATAATTTACCAAATTCCTTTACACTTCTCTGTAATGACTTTGTGAAATAAGTACAACAAGCATTATTCTTTCCATCTGAGAGAGGAGAAAATAAAGTAAACCACTTGCTATAATAAAAGCTCACAAGAAAATCTGAGATGAGTGTGAACAAGTTCTTAGGAATTCTAATTCACTGCTCACCTACAGAATACTATTCTGAGCTTAAAAGCTTTTGCATCCTAAGGACAATTGCACTGTATAAGATCATTCAGTTATAATCCCTCACATTTAGCTTTTTAAGATTCCATATTTATATATAGTTGAACAAAGATATAAGATCTGCCTGTAGAGCTCTACCATTCCTGAAGTAGGATGGTTAGGAGGAAATAAACAGGTTCTCTTTATGTTTCTCTTTGGAAAGTTCATGAAATATTCATGCCCTTGACCGAGGAATGCCCCTAAATCCTAAAGCTTTGAGAATATTATTGTCAATTCCCCCCCCCCACAGTCCTATTGTCTGTGTTATTAAATATTTAACATGCCAAACCTATGAAGTTAGAATTATAAAGCTGTGCTTATCCTGTGTCCTGTTTTTAAGGGCATTCTCATAAAAGCATCTGGTAACATTGGCAGGTTCCCAAGTTTAAAATAAATAAATAAAGAGTAAATGAGTCTGTGTTTCTGCCAGTAGTATATCAAATATTCCCTATTTTTTTTTATCAGTGACATTCCACATCTAAATATGGTGAGTGATTAACCATTAGAATATCAGACTAGAATTTCAACAGGTATTGTCTGAATTTGAAAAAGAAGGGAATGCTGTAGGTGAAAGGATGATGATTGAGGAAGACTTGCCACCATGATCTGGCTTCTTGATGTTCAACGTATAGTCCATAGACCAGTAGTACTGATACCGCCTCTGAGCATGTAAGAAGTGAGGCATCTGAGGCTCTATCCCCCAGCCACATATGGCTATTAAACACTTTAAATGTACCTAACCCTGAATTAAAATGTGCTTTCAGTGTAAAATACATGCAGATACTGAAAATATCATAAAATATAAAATATTGTATTAATTAATTCACATTAATTGCATGTCAAAATAATATTTTGGATATG